GGGGAGTGACAGCTCACTCCTGGTGGGGTGTCGGCCTTCCAGTTCGGCGATTCTGCATTTTAGGGCCGCGACTTCATCAGTGTCGCACCCTATAGCCTTGCCTCGCCTGATGACTTCCCGGAGATCGCGGTTGGCTTGGCTTTTGTCACTCAGATGCTGGTGAACGGAACGACAGACGACCTGGAGGCTTTGCTCCGGATGGCTCTCCCCCGTCTGCTCGGTAGGAGCCGGTCTGGTGCTCTTGTCGCGGCGATTCTGTGCCTCACGATTATTGAGCCGTGGTCTTGGACTTCGTCGGGTTCTTCTGCCCCCCGGCTTCCTTTTCAGGGGTGTGGAGCAGGGTATTGCCAGGGTTTTCCATGGGCGCCACGGTGTTTCCCCCGGCCGCCTGGCTGGCGAGAGCCTTTGCGAAGACCCCCTCGAGGGCTTTGAGGACATCGGAGTGCTGCATGGCCGCAGCAAAAGTGGGAACTTGCGGGACAGAGATTATGGGTCCCTGCTGAGCGCGGCGAGAGGTTTCCCCGCTGTTGCGTCGGCGAGACTGGGCGCCGGATTGCTGAGTTGACTCGTTGTGGCCGGATGAAGGCATTTTGAGTAGTTTTCGGAAGTAAGTGAAAGGTAGGAGAAAAAGATGGATACGATGTGGGGTTCCACGAGGTCGGAAAATTGACACCAAGTAACTTATGGTTCCCTTCCTCTAGTGCCAAACTGTTGCGGGCGTTTTCGGTCAACGGTTAAAAAAGATAAATAGAGAAAAAGTAATGAGAAAAGACAAAGGAATACGGTTTAATTATGATTTTATTAACTGATCACGAGGTCGGCCTCTCGTACGAGGTCGGCACTTGCGATATACTTACAAATTCTTACGCAAATTCCTTACAATTTTAGAGAGAGAAAATATAGAGAGAGTAGAGATAGTTGGGATTCAACAACCTAGAAATAAATGAGAGGGTTGCTATTTATAGTGCTCTTTAATGTGGTACTGTTCAGGTACTGTTCACCGGACTTATCGTACAGTGTCGTCGCAGAGCAGTCCGACGCCTCCCTAACAGAATTTAATGCGATTTGAGGTTTTCCTCATCATTGCCTGACAGTCATTTAATGCTCACATGGGGGTCATTTAATGCCGGCAGGCTTTATGTCTTGGCTAGTGGGTGTAGGTCTGCAGGCTAGGATGCCCTACCCAATCACCAATGATTGCTCTCCAAATGGCATTATTATATTATTATCGGGCCCAACGTCCTTCACTAGGGGTCTGCTCTGAGACTTCAGGTCGGCTCCTGGTCCCGTTCTGCCCTTCCGGCTGGGGGAATCTTTCCCCAGCCCGTCACTCATCACGCCGGCACCGGTATTTAGATGTCACAAACGCCGGGCTAACGGACGGACCCACGGGGGTGTCAGGGTCAATCGATTTCGAAGTTCAGTTCGGCACCTTTTCGCTCGACCGGTTCTCCGGTTCGGCTCTTGAAGCTGCCTGGTCCGGTTTCTTTCGGGGGCGAATTCGGATGTCAACATTATTTTTTTTATATTTGTTTATGTTTTCCTAGATTGATATATATAGTTTATGTTTTTTATTATCATTAAATTAGAGGATGATCAGATTCGACGGTATTGTAAATAAATCTATTTGTTGTCCAATCTTTTTTTTTTATTAGTATTTGATTGTATTTTTTTCTTAATTAGTATTGTAAATAAATTTATTCATATATGTGACCAGGTTTGCTAGAAGAGTTATGACTGGCAGACGCAAATTCGAATCGGGAAGTTCAAAAAGGAAAAAGAAAGAAAAGCAAGAGATATTAACAAAATCTCTCGCCGGTTCGATGGATAGGTACGTAAAATCTACAGTTCGTGTAGTAGAAGTTGAAGTGTTTGGTCCTACTGAAAATGTGCCAGAATTACCTGATACACCCGTAGTTGAAATTGGTCGAGATTTAAGAGATCAAAATCGAATTGATTCAAATGATAATGATAGGGGGGATGGAAAATTTGAAGAAGAAAAAGATAAGTTACAGAATCCGAATGATAATGAGGATATGAATGCTAACCATGACATGAATTGTGAAAATTTGGACGATTTGTTCGATCCAGGAAATTGGGGGGATAATATGCCTCAAAGAAAGATTGATTTTTTAGTCGAGAAAGGGCCGGTTAGTGTTACTAATGTTGTGTATCCAATTAACGACAAAGGTAGAAGTTTTAATGATAATCACTACACTCGATCTTTGTCGAATGGGGAAAAACTTGATAGATCATGGTTAGTATACTCCGAGAATAAGGATAAAGTATTTTGCTTTTGTTGTGTTCTGTTCAAGAAGGATAAAATTATATCAAGTCCCTTAATAACAGCAACAATTGGTTATGATGATTGGAAAAATATTTATCAGAGACTTAGCGAGCATGAAAGAAGTGTTCATCATATGAATTGTTTAACAGATTGGAGAGAGGCTGAAAAAAGATTGAAAAGAAAAGACACAATTGACTCTGCAAATCAGAGGGTCATCGAGAGAGAGAAGAGATTTTGGAGAGATGTCTTTAAGAGAATCTTTTGTGTTGTCAAAACTCTTGCGAGTTGTAATTTGGCGTTTCGTGGGCAAAACGAAAAACTTGATGATCATAATAGTGGAAATTTCCTAAGCATTATTAAAATGATTGCTGATTTTGATCCGATCATGGAAGAGCACCTAAGACGTATTAGAAAAAAAGAGATTAAACGTGTCTATTATCTTGGCCATAATATTCAAAATGAATTGATACTTTTGCTAGCGGGTGAGATAAAGAAAAAGATTCTTGAGGTTGTTAAAGGTGCAAAATATTTTTCTGTAATTCTTGATTGTACTCCAGATGTAAGCCATGAAGAGCAAATGTCTCTCATATTGAGATGTGTTGATGTTTCAAAGACTCCAATTACAGTTGAGGAGTTTCTTATTTAATTTATAAATGTTGTTGAAACAACAGGAGATGCCCTCTTTAATGAGCTTAAATCTATTTTGAGTATATTGAAATTAGATTTAAGTGACTTGAGAGGGCAAGGCTATGATAACGGTTCAAACAAGAAAGGGCAATACAAAGGAGTAAGTAGTAGAGTGCTAAATGAGTATCCTCGAGCATTTTACACTCCATGTGGTTGCCATTCTCTAAGTCTGATTCTTTGTGATATGGCTATGAGCTCGGTTCAGGCAAAGTCATTTTTTGGAGTGGTACAACGAATTTATAAGTTGTTCTCTAGTTCAACAAAGAGGTGGGATGTTTTGAAATCCTTTGTAAAAGGTCATAAAGGAAGAGGACTTACTTTAAAGTCGTGGTCGGATACACGCTGGGAGAGTCGTGTTGATAGCGTCAAGGCTATAAGATTCCAAGCACCTCATATTAGAGACGCATTACTGCATCTAGTGGAACACAGTGGCGATGCAACAACGGCTAGTGATGCTAGATCTTTGGCGGAATATGAACTTCAAAGTTTTGATTTTCTTGTGGGGATAGTAATCTGGTTCGAAATATTGCAAAAAGTGAATTCAATTAGCAAAGCTTTCCAAAAAAATGATATGGTCATTGATGAGGGTATAAGTCTTTTAAAAGGCTTGATTGTCTTTTTGGAGGAATACAGAAACTGCGGTTTTGAAACTGTAAAAGTTGAAGCTCAAAAGATTGCATTGGAGATGGATGTGGAACCCGCCTTTCGTGAAATTCGGATTCGGCGCAAAAGTAAGTTTTTTGATGAAAATGCTCGAGATGAACCAATTCAGGGGGCCGAAGAATGTTTTCGAGTAAATTATTTTCTTCAAATTGTTGATGATGCTCTTTCTTCTCTTCAACTACGGTTCGTACAGTTTCAAAAGTACGAAGAGATTTTTGGATTTCTATTCAACTTGGCCAAGTTGAAAAGCATGGATGATGAAAGTTTGAAGCATTCATGTGCTGAACTTGAGAACTTTTTGAAACATGAAGATAATTCTGATATTGATGCACTCGAACTATTTTCGGAGTTGCAATTGTTGAGAAAAGCATTACCGGATGGATTAACTAAACCAGTTGAAGTGTTGGAGTATATCAAGAATTTGTATCATGGTTTTCCTAATGCATGGGTAGCTTACAGAATATTGTTGACCATCCCGGTTACTGTGGCATCTGCTGAAAGATGTTTTTCCAAGCTGAAGTTGATAAAAAATTATCTTCGGTCAACTATGTCTCAAGATAGATTGAATGGTTTGACGATGTTATCTATTGAAAAAAAAATGATTGCGAAACTTGATTATGGTGAATTGATTGATAATTTTGTACAAAAGAAGTCAAGAAGGTTGTAAGTTTTTTTTTTTTTTCTTTTTGCAAACGGTTGTAAGTTTTTGTATTCTAATTTACTAAATTTTCTCATATTTATGATTTTCTCGTATTTATTATTGACAAGGTTTATTGTTATTTGTTCAATTGAAAAAATTAGAAATATAAAAATACAATTACGGGCCTCTCTTGAAAAAAATGTCTAGGGCCTCCAAATTTTTGGAGACGGCCCTGGTGTCATGCTTTTATTCGTATTATTTTTTAAAATATATGACATTCTTATTTAAATGATGCATATTAATTAAAAAGTCATGATTGTCAAACAGCATAAAATCTATGTTTTAATGCTAGGAGAATAGTTGATACCAATTACAAATAAATTAGGATGTGTAATTGTGGAGTGAATATATTCGAAATGAAACTTCCCATTTCCCTCTTGGTATTTCACTCATTCCTCAAACCTCCCACGTTCAACAATTGCATCTTTCGTTTATGGGCTCCATTCATATTACCAAAATGACTCCCTTCTCTGAAAGTTCATCTTAAATTATTATATCATATATTTTTTTATTTAACTTTTATTTATTCTTCCAACGCGTTTATATATAGTTGCCCATTACCCATTTTGTTCACTCAAACTCTAATTTCTCCGATTAAACACTTTTGTCCCTTTCCATTTTTTATCCCCCCTTCTTTTTTCTTTTCTCGCCGGAGACCACGCCATGGACCAACAAACCATCGTCCCTCAGCCGACGGGCAGCCGCTACGCCTTCAACGGCGAGATGCTTCTCATTGCCGCCATCATCACCGTATTCTTCTTCCTCCTCCTCCTTGTCGCCTTCCACCTTTACGCCCGCTGGTGGCTCCGCCGCGGTGCTTCCCCCGCCGTCTCCCTGAGCGCCCGCGTCGTGGTCGTCGCCGACGACCGCCGCGCCGGCCTCGATCCGGCCGTCCTGAGCGCGCTCCCCGCTTTCGTCTTCTCCGACGCGCCGCCGCAGGCGGCGGCGGAGGGGCGGCACCTGCTGGAGTGCGCCGTGTGCCTGTCGGAATTCGAGGAGAAGGAAATCGTCCGCCTGCTTCCCGGCTGCGGCCACTCTTTCCACATAGAATGCATCGACATGTGGTTCCACTCCCACGCCACCTGTCCCCTCTGCCGCTCCCCGGTCGAGCCGCCGCCGGTCCCGGCCGAGCCGTACGCGGCCGCGGTGGTGGTGGAGGTGGCTGGGGAGGACGGATCTGTCGCGTCCGGGATGTGCGCCGAGTGCCGGCACGGGGAGTGCAGCGGGAGCGACGCCGGCGCGGCGGCGTCCGGCAGGCGGGGGAAGGCGGTGGATGTGAGGATAGAGGTGGGGCCGACGAGGCGGGTGGAGATAGAAAGCGAGTTGACTCAGCGCTCGCCGGTGAGCCGGCTGCTGTCCTTCAAGAGATTGCTTAGCGTAGGAAAGAGATCTCCGCGGGCGGAGAGCAGCAGCGGCTGTGGGGCCGCCGAGTTGGATTTGGAGGGTGGACTCGGTGAGTCGTCCCGAGTTCAAACGCCGAAGTGAGCTGGATCGCTGACGATATCAACATTTTTTGAAACTGTGTCATGTGGAGGGGTAAAGGGTCCCTGCACGCAGCAGTTGTTTGTTGACCGTTTT